AGCCCAGTGCTCTCCAGCCCTGGCTGCGGGCTTCTGCACACCGCACCTGAGCTGACAGCCCCTTTCCTGCCGCCATGTGGAGATTCTTACCTTTCACTTCCCTGTCTTCTGTTTGTGATGCTCGTTTGGGTAATGCAGGAGAGTGAGGACGCAAGCCAAAGAGGGAGGGCCAGAGACTGACGGTGAGGGTGAGAGGAAGAGGGAGAGGCAGAGAGCACGGGAGGGGCCGGCGGGGAGGGAAGGAGAGTTGGCCCTAGGGGCTGACCGCAGACTGCAGGCTGCGCGGGCGGCGGCAGCCCTTGCCCTGCATGAGGAGGGTCAGCTCCTGTGAACGTTTTCCTGATGGTCATTCTGTGTCTTGGGCACCGCTACACCTTGAGACTCTCTCTGCAGATGGCGCCCCCGTCTCTGCCCTCTCACAAAAGCCACCTCTGGCCCTGGGTTGAGAATGTGGGGTCGAGTGTGCGCATTCTGTGCAGAGCCTGGAGGTAGGTTGGGGCTCGTGTCCCGGGCTGGACGCTTCGCTCGCTCTGCCCTCTGGGGCTCTGGGGCTCTACCCGCGTTCCTCATGGGTTGGGGGGAGGCAGAGCGCATTCCTGGCCCTGAGGGGCGGCTGCAGCCGTTCCCTGCGAGCACAGACCCGAATCTCGTGCTGCTGCCTGGCTGGGCGTCCTGCATTTCCCCCATCCCTTTCTGTTCTGTCTCCTTCCTGCCTGCCGGCATTGGCCCTGTCCTCCTCCTCCTCCTCCTCTTCCTCTCTTCCTCTCCTTGATGACCACCTGGAAGTCACAGCCTGGACGGCCTCTGCCTTCCTGGTGGTTTTTCCCTTCTTCTCTTTCCACTTGGGAGCTCATCCATGTGCAGATGGCAGTCACAAGCCTAATGGTCCCTCTGCGGGGCTCTCAGCCAGGGCCGGCTGAACACTCTGTCCCTGAGCTCCATCGCCCTGGGGACACCGCCTGTCCCCTGGCACTGGTGGGTAGAGGAGCCCCTGCTGCTGCTCCTCGGAGAGCTTCCCTTCCCAGGCCCGGCCCGCCGGAGTCTCTGAGGCCTGAGCCTCAGGCAGCCTCCCTGGGACTGAGTCAGGGACCTTGCTCCAGCCTGCAGGGAGGTGTGGGCTGGCGGCCCCAGGGCCAGAGGCCTCTGCGGACCCTGTGCAGAGGGACCTCGAGGTCTGCACAGAGGAGGAGCAGCTTGGACGCCCCACTTGTATGTGTACTGAAAAGGACCCTGGTGGGCCAAGCAATGACCTCAGGCCGCTGCCTTTCCCAACAGGAAGGAGCTGACCACGGAAAGCCCACTGTGGGTCGGTGCCTGGTGGGTTGGCTTCCTTGGTGCTGGGATGGTGGCTTTCCTCATTGCCATCCCAATCCTCGGCTACCCTCGGCAGCTGCCAGGTAGGCCCCTGCTCCAGCCCGGACGTACCCTCTAGGACACAGGACATGCCCTTTGCCCTGCCCCCTTCCTTCTGGCCACTCCTACCAGTGAGGTAGGGGACAGAGTCTTTGCTACTGGGAGGAAAGACTCTGGAGTGGACAGGGCAGAGGTGACCGTCCCCCTGCCGCTGTCCTCACCCCATGACGCCTGCTGCCCCCCTCCCCAGGCAGCCCTCCCCCCTCCCAAGGGTCCTGTGTGGGCCTCTCCCTCACTGCAGCCGTCCCCCGTGTCCCTCCATCTCGGGCCACAGACCGTGTGTGTATCAGATGCCACATCCAGCCCTGCTGGGAGAGCAGAGGGGCGGGGCTAGTGGGAGGCCGGCCTCACAGGGCCTTGGCCTTCTGGGAACCCGCCCGTTCTCTCCTAGGCTCCCAGCGCTACCTGGTTGTGAGAGCAGCCGAGACGCACCGGCTGAAAGACCACGGCCACAAGTCAGCGAGCAACCCTGCCTTCGGGAAGACTGCCAGAGACCTGCCCCTGTAAGGACACACTGGGCATGGGGCACAGGCCCACCACGGCCTCGTAGACCACAGCCCGGGGACCTCTTCCCTGACCGCTGACCCCTAAACGTGGGGAGAGCAGCAGAGTCCCTCCCCAAGGCTGCAGCCATGGCGGGTTGTTGGCGGGTCTCAGCCGTCCCCAGAGGCTCCTGAGCCTCAAATGAAACTCTTCCTACCAGCAGCAGCGCCTCCCCCCCCCCCGCTCAGGCCAAGGGCGCAGACCCTCCCCAAGGGAGCTGTGGGCTTTGGCAGTCGGCGTCCTGGGTTCCGGAACCCTTTTCAGGCCCTCCTCACGCTGCCATTTGGAGGGCTGTGGTGATGGGTGCCCATCCCTCCTCAGTGCGGGGAGAGGAGCGACCAAGAGCCGCTGGGAGGGGCGGAGTCGCAGTGCTGAGCTTGGGGCTAACAGTTTCACTGAGGGCTTTGCCCTTCCCCTCCCCCAGGGGAGTCAGCCATGCTGGCCGGGACTCCTGTCTGCCAGGCTGGCTGGCCTGGACCCAGAGCTCAGGGTGGCCCAGTACAGCCTGGTGTGGGCCTTGTTTCGGGGAGAGCCCAGGCACCCTCGGCTCGCGTGCACAGAGCACAGTGGATCTCCTAAACTGGCTACTGCTTAGCAAATTCTGGGCCCCGTTTCCACACCCATGCCCATTAAAGCCCCAGACAAGTGGTCTGCAGCTCAGGCGGGAGAGCAGGGCTGTGCAGCCAGGCAGCACAAGCTAAGCAGGTCTGGGCACCAGGGTGGGCACCACCTGGGGAAGGACCCACCCCGTGCCAGCACCCGCTCGTGGTTTCCTCTTCGTTCTCTTCTTTGTTGGGGAGGGAGGGTGACTCAATGGTAGAAAGGCTGCCTTGCCAGGATCAGCCCTGAATTCAAATCCCAGGAGGATAGAAAAAAAAAAAAGCACTGCAACCCAAAGTTAGAGTCCGGCCAGGATCCGCTGGAGCTCTACGAGCACTGTTGGCTTGGTTGGACCGCCCATGACCTCGCCAGGGTGTGAAGGTCAGGCCGCCGGTAGCCATCCTTCCACATAAGCATGGCCCATGCCTGCTGGCTGTGCCCGCTGGCCGGGACCACGCCAGAGCTGCTCGCACTGTGCCTCACGCGCCTCCTTCCTCGTGGGCCTTAGTTTTGTCCTTTGCTCTCAAGATGTAGAGCGTGCCAGTGAGTACCTTGAAAGGCACACAGCTTTCTGCCCGCCGAGGTGATGGGGAGGGGGGAGAGGCCGCTGTCCACCGCCAAGAGGAGGAGTGGCAAGTTTGGCAGAGCCAGGGCCGGGCTTGGAAAGCAGAAACACACACCAGCACCCCTGCCTCTGCTTCCAAGACCTGCCCGCCAGCACCCCTGCCTCTGGACGCACAGAAGAGCCACCTGGTACAGCACCAGGCTTGGGAGAAGCCGATTCAGGCTCCCCTGGATTAGATTTACAACTTGGGGCTTAATCTCCAGACCAGGGCCCTGTCCCTGAGCTCTTTTGCTAAAGGAGAGCACTCTACCACTTTTAGCCACAGTGCCACTTCCAGTTTTCTGATGGTTCATTGGAGATAAAGGTCTCACAGACTTTTCCTACCTGGGCTGGCTTTGAACCACAATCCTCCGATCTCAGACTCCTGAGTAGCTAGGGTTACAGGCCTGAGCCACCAGTGCCTAGCTTGTAAGGTTCTTATCTCCAGTGAACCATCAGAAAACCAGAAGCGGCACTGTGGCTCAAAGTGTAGAGCGCTCGCCTTGCACAGAAAAGCTCAAGGAGGCCAGGCCCTGGTTCAAGCCCCAGGACTCAAAAGGAGAGGCAGTAGCCTTATGAGGTTTGTTGGGGGTTTTTTCCACACTGAGGACCTGCCCAACTCTTTCCACTCTCTATTCCCCCTTTTAGCTCCATCTGGCTCCTCCTGAGGAACCCCACGTTTGTCCTGCTCTGCCTGGCTGGCGCCACGGAGGCCACGCTCATTGCCGGCATGTCCACGTTCGGCCCCAAGTTCCTGGAGGCCCAGTTCAGCCTGAGCGCCTCCCAGGCTGCCACCTTGTTCGGTGAGAAGACTTGAGTCTTGGGGGGCACTGCAGGGAGGACCACAAATGACCAATTTGTCCCGGCCACCTTTCCCACAGTGTTATAGATGGGTTTTGGGGTCTGGCTGTCCCCAGGCGCTGGGCAGCTGGTCTCCCGAGGCTTCCCTGGTTGCCCCTCAGGGTTGGGCGGAGTCCGGCAAAGCCTGGGCTCCCTCCAGCCGTGCCGCTGTCCTTGATCTCTGGACCTCCTCCCCCTGGGCCTTGGGTGGAGGCCCTTGCAGGGCTGTGCTGAGTGCTCAGGGCTGACCACTGCCCGTGGAGGCCACGGGCCTCAGTGACCCCGACACTGACAAGCCCTCCCTCCCCAGGGTACTTAGTGGTGCCGGCCGGAGGCGGCGGCACGCTCCTGGGCGGCTTCCTGGTGAACAGGTTCAAGCTCCGTGGGCCCGGGATCATTCGCTTCTGCCTGCTCTGCACCCTGACCAGCCTGCTTGCCTTCTTCATCTTCCTCACGCACTGCGAGAACGTGCCCATGGCCGGCGTGACGGCCGGCTACAGCGGCAGGTAAGTGCGGCAGGCCCTGTGGGAGTTCTGGTCGCGGTGGCTGCACAGGGGCAGGGAAGACCCCGAGGGGGTCTGCGCACCGCTGACTCCAAGCCCTTCCGAAGCTCCCTGCCCGGCCTGCTCTGCCACGGGAGCCACAGCCCTGCCTGGTCTCAGTCTTCTCTATGAGAGGGAGGCAGAGCCCAGCACATAGGGTCCTAGGCTGAGGTGGACATGACAAGGCGTGTGTGTGTGTGTGTGTGTGTGTGTGTGTGTGTGTGTGTGTGTGTGTGTGTGCGCGCGCGCGCACGCGTGCCTGCGTGTGCGTGTGTGTGCAATGGGATATGCGAGCACCCATGGGGAAGGTCAGATGTGTGCCTGGCCTGGCCCTGGGGACACCTGTGCCCACACTCTGGGGAGCGTGGAGCTGCCTGGAAGCCTTGACTGGCAGCAGGGAGGGCAGAGAGTGGCCTGGGTGTTCCGGTACTGCTGTGGGTGAAGCTGGTCCACGCTGGGTGGGTGCAGGGGGCAGAGTCGGGTAGTAGATGGGACGATGGGTGTGATGGTGGCACAGCATGCTCTGCTTGGAGGAAGGAGGTGTGATAGCCAGTGGCTGCTGGCACGCACACACGCACGCATGTGCGTGCACACACGCACACACACACACATACATACATGCAGGCAGTGGCTGCAGCACACAGGCTGGCCTGTGCTGGGAACGGGGCCGGATTGCAGGTGACAGAAGCTGACGCTCCTGATGGTGCCTTCAGGCAATGCACATGCATTTCCACAGACCCAAAACAGAAACAAACCAAGGGAGAGGGGGGGGGGCACGCGAGCCGCCCTGGCTGCCCTCAGAAGTAGAGCACTGGTGGGCCTCTCGAGTTGTGGGCACAGGCTTGGCGCATCTGCAGACCCCAAACGTCGCTGGGTGGGGATGAGGCCCGGGCCGCCCTGGGTCCCCGGCCCCGGCCTCACGTCCGGCCTCCCGTCCCCCTGCAGCCTGTGGCAGGAGGGCCACCTGAACCTGACGGCCAGATGCAACGTGGCCTGTGGCTGCCAGCCGGAGCACTACGCCCCCGTGTGTGGCTCGGATGGCCTTGCCTACTACTCCCCCTGCCACGCGGGCTGCGCCAGGGCCGACAGCACTGGCCCCGGAGGCCTGAAGGTGAGTGTGGCCCCCGCCCCGGGCCCTGCCCAGCTGGGACCGGGAAGCCGGGCCTTCTGTGTGTGATCAGCGCTGTTGTTGGGCTCCCCAGGTGTACCGAGACTGTAGCTGTGTCCCTTCGAATGTTTCCTCTGGCTTTGGCCATGCCACCACAGGGAAATGCACCTCAGCCTGTCAGAGGAAGCCCCTCTTCCTGGTTCTGGTGTTCGTTGTAATTATCTTTACATTCCTCAGCAGCATTCCTGCACTGACTGCCACGCTACGGTAAGCACTTTCTCCCGCAGCACCGGCAGGTGGCGCTCTGCAGGCCCCGGGCAGCAGAGAACTGACTGGCGTCCGGTGGGGTGCCGGCCACCTGGGGAGGAGGCTTGGCCAAGACGCGGGTGACGGGGTGTCTTGGCGTGCAGCCACACGCCCACCGGTGCCCACGCTGCTGTGTGTTTCCTTGCAGGTGTGTCTGTGATCGGCAGCGGTCCTTTGCCCTGGGGATCCAGTGGGTCGTAGTGAGGACGCTAGGTACTGTGCTGTGGGAGGGAGCGTGTGCACGCCTGTGGCTGTGCGGTGGGAGGGAGCGTGTGCACGCCTGTG